TGAACTATGAAGCATGTGAAAGGAAACTAACACATGGGCAAATCCAAAATCCACCTGAAAGTACTCAGACAATATGACCAAATGAGGGCTTCCATTTGATTCTTCTTCTCTACACCATACTTAAAACCCAATTAGTTGCTGCTAACGGCCACTAGGGAGAAAGTCTTCTCATTCTTAGTGTGCCTTTATGGGATGCTGTCCCAAGGAGGCTTCACTGCAGCCTATCATGCATTCCATGTCAGGTAAACGCCTGTATATTGTCCCAGGCTTTCAAGTAGCTCCTTGGCACTTTCAAGAATTTCTGGAATGGTGAAAACCATTTTTTTTAGATCTGCCAGCACTGGGGAAGTGTTGTGGTATTAACGGAATGTGTTGGTGTTGACCACTATTGTTTTGCTTTTGTATTTATATTATAATTGAATTTTAATTCTTGATTTATATCATGCAGAGAACCCAGGTTGTAAACAAATAAATAAATAAATAAATTGTAAGCTATCCTCAGGGCCCATTTTTCTGTGTATCAATATAATAAGCAAAGACTGTATTGTAGGAAATACACGTGTGTGTGTGTGTTGGTGCATGAGCCACTGTGCTAAAGAGGTTTGAGTGCTGGACTGCAACAGAAGAGGCTTGACCTCAGGTCCCCGTTCAGTCATGGAGCTCTCTGGGCAACTTTGAACCAGTCCCTGATTCTCAGCCTAACCTGCTGAATAGGAAAAGATAATCATATATGTCACTATTTGTTGGAAAAGGTGGGATATAAATGTAATAATAAATAAATATTCATACTAGAAGTATTTTCAAGTATTTTCCATTAAGTAGGAGAACTGTTCCAGTGTGTATAAAAGCTATAATTCAAATACATGAGCACTATCCTAAATGGGAAATTCCCACTACTCTCACGGCATAGAAGATGGAATGCCTCTTCTGTGATATTGGATACTGCAACACAAGTGCATCACCTGTAAAAAAGACCATCTTCTATTTATTTCAAAAAAATGTTTTATTTTTATGAAATGTCTGTAAATTGGTTAGTTGAATAAAAATCCATATTATTTATTGACTAAGATTTTTTAATCAGGTGGCAGTCCTAGTTTTAATAAATGCTGTTAAGATCCAGGCATGAATCTTATTTGCTAGTTGGATTAGAGATGTGAGCAACTTAGTTGTGACATAAGCACTACTATAAAGAGCCCATTAAAATAAAGAGATTCTTCTAATCAGACAGAGCCTACACCTATTTGCCTGGAAGTAAATAAATAATAAGACTCAATAATATAAAATTCACTAACGTATACAGCTGTTATGTATACAGAACTGCAAATTCACCGAAGAAATTGCAGAATGATGGCACAACGTTCCCTTAGTTTTGACAGACCCAAACGGTGCCATTTCCAGGAACTGGCCTTGGTACTGAAATGATATTTTGGTGTACCTATACACACTCATTGAGACAAGGGAATCCCTCACTGAGACTCATCCCATAGTGAGTAATTTTAAATAACTCATCATGGAGCAATGATATTCCCTGAGAGACTGTTGTGGCAAGAGAAATTTAGACGTTTTTATTTATAAAATAAATATAATTCCTCTGGGCTGCACACATTCACATGTGTCTCTTGTACTCCACAGAAAAGAACCTGGGATTGTGGTTCCTATGCATGGGTTTATTTGTTGCCTGCCGGAATAGCCAATTTGACATCCTGGCTGAAGCCTGTAGCAATGCATCTCTTGATCCTACTGGGGACAGGACTGCAACCTGTGCAATCCTTGGTTCCTCCCCTCCCCCTTTTGCAAAGTCCAGGGTCTGCATGCAAGAGCCAAAGCATAGCCACCTCGGCTGCATCTTGATGCCAGTTTCCCCTGAGTTCACCCAAGTAATGGGGTGTATGTGTGCAAGGAAGGGAGATGTGCATGAATATTTGTAGCCCGCTACAAGCACGGCTCTTTGCTTTTGTGCTCAGAGATAGGGGACAGCGACTTGGGCAGGTCTTGCTCATCCCAAATTGGTCAGAAGGCTCTTGTGGAGATTTTGGGATAACCTGGCACCAGCCTTTCAAAATGCATGGATCAGTGGCTGTTGTCTGTGAGTGACTGATAACCTGCTATTTCAGTGTGGTTGAAGAGTGGGAGAAAAAGAGAAGCAAACAGAGAGGAGAAGGCAGACTGACTACACAGCAGGGATGGAGGTAGAAAATGCCAACAGAAGGAAAGAGGGGAGAGAGCTGTTGGCCACTGATCTATTGCTTCCATGGTTTCAGACCCTGGGACAGGGGGAGAGCCAGTAGATGACTGGCTGTAGGATTTTTCAGAGCCACCCCCTTTTTTCTCAGGATACATTCCTATTTCAGCAAGTCATAAGCACAGAACCAAAGTTCCCAGGTATTATTGATTTATTCAGCAGAACTTTCTCAACCTCACCCACAAATGCCCATCTCTTAGAATTATTCCTGTTTGAAAATGCATGCACACACACAAAGATCTGGACAAATGTTCTGGTATACTTGACAATCAGAAATGTCCTCCTCCCATAAGAATGCATCTCAGTTTTGGTCCTCCCCCATCCAAGAAAAGATAACTTGCTAAGCAGGAGCATGGAAAACATAAGTGTCCGTGTTACATACCACCCTGATTACCAACCAACAACAACATCACCAACCAACCCCTAACACAGTAAAAAATAATAAATAAATAAAACAAAATCATTGTGCAGGGGATAGTTTAGAAAGTTACTATTTCAGCCACTTGCACAATCCAGTTAAGATGAAGCAATGGGATTTAAAACTGAGTTTAAAGCCCCATTGAACTCAATGGGATTACATGGTTTTAACCCACATCTGTCATTGTGCACAGACTGTCAGCTTGGAAGAGTGTCTGGGGAAGAGAGAGAGAAATACTCATTGTACAGCTGTCTGGAGTCGCACCACCTTTACAAAGAAGGAGGCATCGGCTCCAGTGCCGGATCAATCACCGATGTTCCAGTCAATGCTTCATCATAAGAACTGCCCTGCACTGGGGAAATTCCCGAGTAGGTCATCCTTAATTAACCCAGAGAGCATCTTTGGGGAAAGGTGTAGGTGCCTGCTTATTGACTTTCAGAGCCCAGCAGATCCCAAGGCTCAGTCACAATTGGAAGACCCGGCTTCTGTCAGAAAACATTTATTTTCCAGTGCTGCCAATGGACTGCAGGTCAGAAACCGTGCAATCAGTCCCCCACCACCACCACCCCACTCATGCAGACATGCACACACAGGCACACAGGTGTTCTGAGGACCAACTTGAGCCCTGTTCAAAGGCACAAGGAGGCATTCCTGAAGATGGTTGCTAAGAGCAACGTGTCTCAAGAATCTTAGCGGGGTGGGAGAGAGAAGAGAAAATGCAACCAGGAATCCAACACACCAGATCAATTCCAGCCTGGCACCTTTACAACACCAACATGTGGTTTCTTCCTTCAATTGTAACAAGTCTTTCTATCTGTCTCTGGCACAAAACAAGCGAAGCTACTAACAGTTACCATCCGGGTGGAATTTTTTAATGATGACAGGAGAAGAGAGGGGTTTCCTTGCTTGGAAGCTAAGGATATTTCTCACTCGGCACGACCTTTCAGCAGCAGCATTCATATTTCACTGCCCTGGTGATGCCATGGTGTACAACTGTTCAAATCAATCAACAGGAGTTTTGTCCTTGACTTGAATGGGATATGAATTTTACAACTGGCTGGGACATGGATTGGAGGGTTGCTGCTCCGTGCCAGCATTGCCTCTCACCTCTTTTGGAGTAACTTTCCTCGGACAAGTTTGCTTCCTGCAGTTCTAGCAACCCTGACCTTGAACATTTTCATGGACTCATTCTTCTCTACTCTGAGCGACTGGCCTGCCAGACTACGGGTTTGCACAGTTTGTTAAAGGTCAATCTGGGACAGAGGGGGTTTTTTTGTGGGGGAGGGAGGGGAGGGAATTCACCAGAGGACAATTCTGTCATCTGAGAAATGTCAGTAATTGTCATGAAATGGTCCCTTCTTTCACACTCGAAACGCTTGCACTTTCTCCGGCCCTGAGCCTTCACTCACTGGGAAGAAATCCCACTGCCCTCCATGGCATCAGCAGGGTAGTTTACTGAAGGACAAGAGATCTTAGCATGCAGTGCAAAAACCTTTTCCACCCAACTAGCGCCTGTAAGCAATCTCACTGGGTGCAGCTGTTCTCCACGGGGTTTTTCCACTGACTTTTCATGGGGATGCAGACTGCACCTGTAGGCATCAGCCACTCCAGTTTCAAAGCACATCACCTGGACTGAAGCGATGCAGGGATGGCACCCTCCGTCGCCGCGAGCAGCTCAGAGTTCAGTGATTACTTGCGGGGGCGGGGGGTGACGGTGTGGGAAAGGGTCTGAACAGGTCTAGTTTTGTCTCCTCTCAAACAGCCTGACCCGTCGGAATCCGGACGTCCTTTACGGGGAGAACGCACGCCGAAGCGATCTGCCTTCCAGGGCTGTGCTTGGCGACCCTGTCTTGGCGTCTGAGTGGGCCAGACTGACGGCGGGGGGGGGGGGGGGGGTTTTTGGGCCGGCCCAAAAGGCAAGCAAAAAAAAAGTCCCCCAAACCCAGCGCCCCCCCCCCCCCCGTCCCCCGCCAATACGGCAAGTCTAAAGAGGAAACCAAAGCAAGCCAGGTCCGCGGATGGTCAGTACTCCGAGCGCCCCAACCGGCCAAGCCTCGGTTGGGCGGGCGCTCTTCGCCAGTCAGCTCCCCAAGAATGCTTTGATCGGCGGCAGCCTCTGGGAAACGCAGGCAGCGGCTCGCGCGGGCGCCTCGGCGCAACCGGGAGGAGACAAAACACCCCGCTTAGCCCGGAAGCAGCTCCAGCTCCCCTTTTCCCGCCTCCCCGCAACCTCCCCCCTCCTTCCCGCACGATCCGAGGGACACACACAACGATGCCAAGCAACGATAGGGAGGAACGCGGGGGGGGGGGGAGGCAAAGAGGGGAATAAAGGCGCCTTACCGAATCTCAACACATGCGTGGTTCCTTGGGAATATCCAATCCACAGTAAGCAAAGCAGCAGCCGAACGGTGCCTCTGAAGACTGGATGAGTTAGAATCGGGGAAATAATCTTCATGGTGTTTCCTACGCACACACGCGCCACTTTTCCTCTTGGCCGCCTCGCTCAGGCGCCGGGGTCGTCGTCGCTCTTCTCCCCCACCCCCGGCCGGGTAAACAAAGCGCTGAGGAGCCGGAGAAGTGCTTTTGCGCTTGTGTTTGTTTGTTTTGTGTTGTTGGGGCCCTGAGACGCGATCACGGCATGGTCACACCGAGGGGAGAGTCTCTCCGCTTCCCAAAGCCATTAGCAATCCCTGCATGATCTTCATTCACTGCGCCAAGGAGCAACCTTCGACTGCAAGGGATGGCGGGACATCCATGGTAGTCGGGCGAGAGGGAGGCTGGCGGGGCGCGCGGGGGGGCGGGAGGAATCCGGGAGCGATCCGCACACACGCGCATATGCAGGCGCGACGGCCAGCCGGGCGAACCTAGAGGCAGGCAGAAGCAGGGGGAGGGGAGAGAGATCAATAGGCAATCCGAGCTCGCGAAGCCGCCGTCGCCGCGCCGCCGCCGCCGCCGAGCGAGAGGCGGGCGCTCGCCTGGCCGCGGGGTTCCCTGTGCTGCACTGCCGCACGCCTGCTGACGCGCCGCCCGGGCGAGGCGCGAGCAACTGAGGCAGCGCCGCGAGGCCGCCACAGCCTGCCCGCTCTTATGCAACCGGTCCCTCCGCTCTGCCCAGGCAGCCTCCCGCCGCCGGGAACTTTGCTTTCTTTATTTATGAGAGGCAGGGAGGGAGACAAGCGGCGCGGCCGCGGCCAACTGTTGGGGGGCTTTTCTCCCAGGACCCTGGAGCGCGCCGGGGAAGGAGCAGCGGGAGCCGCGGAGGAGAGCCGCCACTTGGCCCGGCTGCCCGGAGCAGTCCTCGGGAGCGGACGCGCGCCTCGTCTGGGTCGGGGCAGTGCGCCAGACGCCGGCGGCGGACTCACGGCCCGGTCCAGCCCGAAGGAGAAGGGCTGGCTTGTGGCGAGGCGGCTGGCCGCGTCCGCAGCCCGGGCTGGCCTGGAGTCGGAGCTGCCCGGCCAGGGCAGGGGCTCAGCGTCAACAGCGCGCCCGCTGGAGTTCGGCGGGACTCGCATCTGTTTCGACCCGAGCCTTGAGAAGGAGCTGCGGATCGGCCTCGGTACAAGCCGTGCGGGGACTTAGTGCGTTGACACCAAGACTATTCTGCCAACTTGAATGCGGGACTGACTGGCCGGGGTGACCCTTGATCATGGTTTCAACACAGAGACCATCCAGCAATGTGGGTTTTCTCTCCCCGATGCCCAGGCGCTCTGATTCACTTTCTACACTTTATGCTCCTAAATGCTCCTTTCCATCAACAAACACTTCAGCACTCATAAACGCGTCTAGTTTTATGTAGAGACAGGGGCAGGAATTTCTAGGATTAAAAACTTACACCCAACCGAGATTGTGATTTTTATACATTTACCTGGGAGTGAGTCCCACTGAATCCGGTGGGACTTACTTTTGAGTAGGCGTGTATAAAATTGCATTGTGACGGGCATACCTTGTAGCCGTGGATGACGATGAGTGAATGAAACAGGGATTATATTTTTTCTAGATGTTCCTGATTTTGCCTCTCCAATGCCAGCTTTTTAGAAAAGATCGATAGTGATCATGAGACTAGAATATACTGTCTGTAAAAAATGTCTTTTTCTCTAGTTCCCAAATGGCTTGTTCTGAGTAGTACTACTGAGATCAAAGCATTACACCAGTGTGAGATACATTACATCCTTTCCTAAGGTAGAAATTTACTATTTGCATCCTCAGACTGCAATCATATTCACACTTGCCTGGAACTAAGTCCCATGGGACTTAATGGGACTTCATTCCCAGCAAGGATTGTACTCCTAAGGTTTCAGTCTCTTTGCTTTAAATACTTCCCCCCACCCCCTCCATTAAAGATTTATTCACTGCTGTCACACATTTCTGGGATTTAAATATTTCTTTTCTCACATGGGGAGAGGGACAGAAAGAATCAGGGAAATGAACCTTTGTGGATTTGTTAAACACATCAGTGAAGAAGGAACCATCATTTTCCTATAAAGGAAAGTCTCTGTGAATCTATTAATTGGGTGGGGTGGTGGACAAGAAGAAAGATAATTCCTATTGTTGCCACATGAAAATGAATGGAGATTAATCTTTTGTCTGGAAATCCACATTAATGCAGCAAAAGTCTAAAAGTCAGAATTCTATCAATCAAAACAGCAGAGATTTGACTAAAGTGTGCCATACACCTGTACCTGCAGAATGACTGATTTTGGCTGTGGGACAAAGGTGGCATAGCTCCAACTATAGCATGGAGCATAGGTCTGATTCTTACTTCTGGATCCTGCTCACTGATTTATCGGAAATTACTCCCAGGTAAGTATGAATAAGATTGGAGCAACAATTCATCTGTTTTAATTGTGAACCTTTAGGGCCACAAACTTGGTTGTGTGACTGATAGATGTGTCTGATCTGTCACAGCGAATCAAAACGACTTTGGAGTATTTTAGGTACTGCTCTTCTCTGCACATGTTTATCCTTCAAAGCACCCATGAAATGAAATTTACATTCTGCTAAGCGATTGCTGAACGTTGCTTGATTTTTTTTTCTTTGATGGAAACCCAGCTACGGTGTCAAAACTAAGTATCATGAATGGCTACTTCTACAGTCTAGCAGGCAATTCAGTCAAATGATCTGACTATTGGAGTACTTGATGGGGAGGGGGTACCTTATGTTGGAAAAAAGGATATCTAGCGACTCCTTCAGTACACAACTGGAATATCTCACCGGGAAATGTGCAGTTTCAGTTAGTCTCTCTTTTACTTGAATTTGCTGTTTGTCTTAATTTGTTTTAAGATCAGACCAAGATCAGATTATTAAACTGGGGTGAAAAATAGTTTCTGTTAGTCTTAAAAGGCTATTTTAGAGTTAATTTAATCAAATATGTTCATATTTATAATGAAATATATGGTCCAGTGAAAACAGATATGAAGATACGCTCCACTGAAAACTATACATGTCTAACAATTACAACTTCACTTTTCAAAAAGCTTTGTAACATTGCATTCATTGTAACAACAATAAAGGGCAATACCAGACTTGCAAGTGGGAATCAGCTCTGTCGGGTTTTACATTCCCACACACCCTTTCCCACACCTTACTCCTATTACCTGTATTTTAGGAGGCTCAACACATGCTTATCCACGAAGTGAGAGACTGGAAGACTATATTGCATGCATGCATATATATATATATATTAATTTTTACAGTACTCTTCACCCTCAAGCAACCTTGCTTTTGACGCCTCCAAACTGGAAAGGTATAAAGAACCACCATGGACAGCAACCAAACACATACTGCTGAAATTTAGCTAAAGGGCTGTTCTCTTTTCAGCACCACGGAGAGCACCACAAACTCAAACGGCCATGCTGTGTGGTGCTGCTGATGCTGATCTCGCTCTCTCTCTTTTACACACACACACACACACACACACAATTTTGCTGTAAAAATAAATTCTCAATCCAAGGCTTCCTAATTAAGAAATGAACAAAATATGGATTCTCTGTCTATGTTATCCTAGATTGCTTTGCCTTCAGTATATTGTATGCTTTTCTTCCTGTCAGGGTGTTATGGGGAAATAACAATCAATCCTTCTATCCAAAGTTAGACCACAGTGTCTTTCTTAAAGCCACCAACTATTTAGAATGCAGAGAGAAAAATCAATTGGTCACATTTAGGGTAGCATCCGCATTCCATTAACGTTAATGCCTAATTGTTGGTTGATTGTAATGGTTGCAAATTGCTCCTTGTGGACACAGCCCTCCTTGAAATATATAATTAATTCAGGCCTTAAGTATCTACCATCCTGTTTTTCTTCTATAAAGAGAGGCTGCAGTGGTATTTCAATTTTTTTAAACAAAATCTTATTATTAACAGGCATTAGTCTTAAAAATGGAAATGTCCACAGTCACTCCCAAGGTGTTTTTCTCAACTCTTTTTCAAAGTTTAAGAGGCTTGATTATACAGCATTTCCCTGATAGAGCTGAAGAAGTTTTTCTGGGTATGACTGGCCCGCTATTCATCTCCTTTCAGATGCAGTTTCCCTGAAACTGATTCTACGGCAAAGGCACCCCTCCCCATGAGTGAGTTGCAGAAGGGAAGCTTTAAATACTCAATTTCCTGTTGTGTCTCTTGATTTACTCTTCTTCTCCATATGGAGGATAGCAGAAACATCTTTTCACTATCCAAGGTCACAGCACAGGTGAAGTGGAAATGAAAATAGATCAAGTCCAGAAGGCTGGGCTGCGAATAACATGAAACCAATAGAAAAATTCCTCCACTGGATAATAATGCCAAGTTTTTATGCCCTTTCTGCATGCAATGTCCCCAGATGGTTAAGAGTTGTACTGGTGAGAGAACGTTTCTTTGAACATTCTGTGATCAGCCCTTTCCCCACTAGCACTTTATGCTGGCCAGAAAATAATATTCCTTTCCCCTCAGTACCTATACATTTTTACCACAAAGCTTGGAATCAGGGGCACTTTGTATCTTTGGGACCAAGGTGCTTACAGCTAAAATAAGATTCTGTGAGGTGGGCCTTGTAAACCTAAATTTATATGATGGTGTCCTTTTCATTTTTTTAATATGTCACCAATACATATAGACCAGTCTTCCCCAAACTGGCAATCTCCAGAGGGTTTGGACTTCAATTCCCATAAGCCCCAGTCTGAGTATACTAACAGGGGCTGATGGGTGTTGTAGTTCAAAATCTTGGGAGGGTGCCAGCTTGGGAAAAGTTAAGGTAGACCCTGCCTTTAATAACGTTATTTTTTTTCCAGGAGTCCTGGCAAAGCAAATGTGCTGTTCAGTAGATATGCTTGCTCCCACCAGAGTTCTCAAACTATCATTGCAAAGGGATTATCAGATGGCTCATTTGCAACAAATGACCAGCATCTTCATCTTTGTACATGCTTATGTCTTGCCCAGTGAAGCTAATAAGCTGAGCTAGCCCTGCTTGGCTTCTCCTTCCCC